GGCGGCCATATTGGATTTTTTGGACATGTCTTACGTAATGAATACCGCACTTATTGCTTATGGAAATTCAATGTGTTTTTGCGTACGTCTTAACAAACATTAGATCTGAAAATGTGTTTGTTGTTTTTTTCCTAAACAAATTAGAATATTTTTAATGATTTTTTTCCTGAGGTAGCATTCAAGTTTGCAAAAAATCCGTGAAAATCCACACTCCAGATACCTCCAACAAAAATTTATTCCCAAATAAAAAATTCTACAGATAAATTTTTAGTATTACATCTTTATTCTGAGATAATTTCATGAAGATTGGATGATAAATGGTGGAGTTATTCAAAAAAGTATATAGAAAAGTCGCGTTTTGAGAAAACGACCGATAAAGAAAAATAAAACATTAACTTAATGAGGAAGTGGCGGTGACAAACATGCCCAGCATGGGAAAGAAATATGGTTTTGGGGGGTTCTTAGGCGATGAAATACTTGTAGGAGATGCCGAGGAAGCCAAAAATGCCTACGACTCAAATTCCACAATTTTGAGCCCAATCGGGACTCTGGGGGTGTACCCCCCCCCCCCATCCCCCTTACGGACACTTTAATATTATTTCTACACCTTGTCCGAAACTTACGAAATGAATTGGCGGTGAAGAAATGTTCAATACAAAAAGCTCTCTGCTCGTTACTTATCTTAACCATGATCTCAGCAGGAAAAAGGAAACGTGAGAATGGCAAACTTCTGTTGGCCTGTTAGACTACTGTAGCTTGCAATATGGCCTGATCGTTGGGACTTTTAATGGTAGGCCTAATGCGAACTAGTGCATCATGCTACAAAAATGGGGATATAGCTGGAAATGGGTTTTTTACACGCTATGAAGAGCAAAACTATTCAGTTTAATTATCTAAAATGAATATCAAACAAATTCCTTTTGTCTTCCAAGTATTGTGTACAAATTTGAAACGCAAAAATTTAGTGTGGAGGAAAATATTTTCCAGAAAAGTTGTACTGGATCACCCTGTACATGTACGCATGTAGTCTTTATTTGAAAAATATATTTTCAACAACACGCCTACCCTCCTCAAAAAGACCCC